AAGGAGGAGGAAGGAGGCAGTAATGCAAGGAAGGAAAAGAAAGAAGGGAAGGAAGGACGGAAAAGGACGGAAGGAAGGCAGGAAGGAAGGAAGAGGAAGGAAGAAGGAAGGAAGAAGGAAGGAAGGAAGAAGGAAGGAAGGAACGAATGGAAAAGGAAGGGAGCAGGAAGGAAGGAAGGAAGGAGGAGGAAGGAAGGAAAAGGAAGCAAGGAAGGATAGGAATGGAAAGGAAGGCAGGAAAAGGAGAAGGAAGGATGGAAAAGGAAGAAAGGAAGGAAGGAGAAGGAAGGAAGGAAAGGAAGGAAGGAAAGGAGTAGTGAAGGAGGAAGGGAGGAAGGAAGGAAGGAAGGAAGGAAGGAAGGAAGGAAGGAAGGAAGGAAAAGGAAGAAGGAAGGAAGAATGGAAAAGGAAGGCAGGAAAGAAGGAAGGAAGGAAGGAAGGGAGGGAGGAGGAAGGAAGGAAGGAAGGAAGGAAGGAAGGAAGGAGGAAGGAAGGAAGGAAAAGGAAGAAGGAAGGAAGAATGGAAAAGGAAGGCAGGAAAGAAGAAGGAAGAAAGAAGGAAGGAAGGAAGGAAGGAAGGAAGGAGGAAGGAAGAAGGAAGGAAGGAGGAAGGAAGGAAGGAAGGAAGGAAGGAAGGAAGGAAAAGGAAGAAGGAAGGAATAATGAAAAGGAAGGCAGGGAAAGACGAAGGAAGGAAGAAGGAAGGAAAGGAAGGAAGGAAGGAAGGAGGATGAGGAACGAAGGAAGGAGGAAGAAGGGAAGGAAAAGGAAGAAGGAGGAAGAATGGAAAAAGGAAGGAAGGAAGGGAAGAAGGAAGGAAGGAAGAAGGAGGAGGAAGGAAAGGAAGGAGAATGGAAAAAGGAAGGCAGGAAAGAAGAAGGAAGGAAGGAAGGCAGGAAAGAAAGAGGAAGGAAGGAAGGAAGGAAGGAGGAAGGAGGGAAGGAAGGACGGAAAAGGAAGAAGGAAGGAACAATGGAAAAGGAAGGCAGGAAGGAAGGAGGAGGAAGGAAGGAAGGAAGGAAGGAAGGAAGGAAAAGGAAGATGGAAGGAAGAAGAAGGAAGAAAAGAAGGAAGAAGGAAGGAAGAATGGAAAAGGAAGGGAAGAAAAGAAGGAAGAAGGAAGGAAGAATGGAAAAGGAAGGCAGGAAGGAAGGAAGAAGGAAGGAAGGAAGGAAGAAGGAAGGAAGGAAGGAAGGAGAAAAAGAAAGAAGATAAGAGAAGAAAGAAAGAAAGAAAGAAAGAAAGAAGAAAGAAAGAGAGAAGAAAAGGAAAGAGAAAAAGAAAGAAGTTGACTCAGTTCCACAGAAAATTGCTTTACTCTGACAAGACATTTTCCATGTATCAAAGGCAAATTTTCTTTAGGAGAAAGCTGGGGATTGACCACTGTATGCTTATAATGGTCTAATGTTCTAATAACTACATATAGTAGTGTTGGCCATCGCGAAAGATAGTTTTAAAAAGCTATTATAACATTTTTTAAATTCTATTTTCAATTCAAAATGTTCATAAAGAAAACTTTAGTCTCGGCTGGCTTCACTCATGAACAATATCACACATTTAAAAGAAAAAAAATAGCAACAGTCTTACAGAAGTTTTCCAGAAAATGCAGCAGGAAAATACAGGAATTTTATGAAGGCAGCACTACTTTTATACAAAAAATAGAAAAAAGACACTACTGGGGGGGGGGGGGGGGGGGGCGGGAAAGCACTACCGATCAATATCCCTGATAACATAGATGTAAAACTCCCTAATGAAATTTTAGAAATTTGAATCCAGTGGTCTATGAAAAGTATAATCTGTGACCACACAGGGTTTATCCTAGGAATGCAAGGCCATTTTAACATTTTAAAAGAGGCATCAGTGTATTTTGCCATATTAAGGCAACGAAGGAAAAACAATCACAATATATGACAGAAAAGTCATTTGATTGATGCAAAATATTTATTCGTGATAAGCATCTGCTAACCTAAGGAACATGAGGGGAACATCTTTGACCTGATAAAGTGCTTCTACCCAAAAACTGCTGCTGGCATCATAGTTAATGGTGAAAGACTGAATGTTTCTCCCACAAGATTAGGAATATGGCAGTATGTCCACTCTTACCATGACAGGTCAACATATACTTGGGTCTTAGCTGACAAGGCAAGAAAAAGAAACTGTATTTTCAAAAGGCACGATACTCTACACAGAAATAAAATTAAAATAAAAATAAAAAAAGCACCTCCCGGATGCAAGAAGTAACTTAACAAGGTCACAGGAAAGTCAATATAGAAAGTTTCTTTTTATTTCAGTATACTAGAAACAAATAACTGGAGATGGATTTTTTTTAAAAGCACATCACATACACTAGCAGTAAAATAAATGAAATTCCTGCTGATAATTTTAACGTTGCATTTGCAAGGCTTGTCCACAGATAGCTATAAAATATTTCGAGAGAAATTAAACAAGACGGATATAAATGGAGGTATACATATTATGTTCATGGATCAGAAGGCTCAAAAAAGGTTTAAATGTCAAGTCTCTAGTAACTCATCTGTAGACTTGCCACATTCCTAATTAATGAAAAGCTACTACTAAAACGTATAAGGAAATGCAAAGGACACCGACTAGCAAAGCCATTTGGAAAAGCATAAAGATGGAGGACTTACACTACCAAACTCCCTGACTTAAAACAAAGGTGTGGAAATCATGACAGTGTGGCATTACCATAATGATAGTCCTGTGGATCAATGGATAAAACAGAAAGCCCAGAAATAGCCCTACACATATATGGTAAGTTGATTTGTGACAAAGGTGCTAAGATCATTAAGATGACTCATAATTAACTAATGGTGCTGGAAAAAAACACATCTCCATGGGGAAGGAGAAAACACAAACAACTTCAGTACCTCACACTATATGCAATAATTAACTAAAATAAACAATAGCTCCAAGTGTAAATCGTAACATAAAAAGCAACAAGAAGCCCTGGCCCGTTTGGCTCAGCGGTTAGAGCGTTGGCCTGGAGAGGCCCGGGATCGGTTCCCGCTAAGGACATGTACCTAGGTTGCAGTTTGTCCCGGCCCCGGTTGGGTCGTGTGGGTGGCAACCACTCGATGTGTCCCTTGCACGTCGATGTTTCTCTCTCTCGCTCCCTCCCTCCCACTCTCTCTGAACAAAATATCAAAAAAATGTCCTCGGGTGAGGATTAAAAAAAAAAAAAGCAACAAGAAAACATGAGAGAAAAGTTCTGCGTTGTGAAGTTAGGCAAAGTTGTCTTGGGTAGGAAATTCATTCAAAAAGTTTGTGATTTGACTTTGGGTGGTGGGCACACTATGCAATATACAGATCATGTATCGTAGAATCATACACCTGAAACCTATGTAATCTGATTAACCAATGTCACCCCAATAAATTTAATTTTAAAAAATGTACAAATCACAAAGGGAAAATAATTGATGGGTCATTATTAAAATTAAGAGAAAGACAAACAAAATCTTTTGCTTCTGAAAAACCAGGATTCAGTATCTCTGTGAGGCATCATTTTCTACTCCTACACTGGAACCTCATGACTGACCTTGACTTCCACGTAACACCGAGAACAGAAACCAGGGTCTACTTATTTCAATTGCAAAAACTCACTTAATTGTCTTAGGCATCTGCTTGCAAAACTCTCCCCTTTCTCATTTCCTGGCCAACTTCTTTCTTCACTCATTTCAGGCATGCCTCCTTTGGGAAATCTCCAACACTCTATTCCACCTCCCAAGGCTGGGTGGCTGCACCTCCTCCGACCTCCCTCCCGTAACCATGTAACCATCTTTTTGTTGTTGTTGTTTTGGCTTCTCACCCATAGAGACTTTTTTCTTTTTTAATCCTCACCCGAGGATATTTTTCTATTTATCCCACAAGTAGAGTGGGAGGGAGGGGGGAGGGAGGGAGGGGTAGAGAGAGAGAGATAGTTAGAGAGAGAGGAGATAGAGAGAGAGAGAGAAAGATAGAAACATCGATATGAGAGAGACACATCGACTGGCTGCCTCCCGCACGACCCGACCAGGGCCGGGGACCAAGCACAACCGAGGTCCGTGCCCTTGACCGGAATGGAACCCGAGACTCATTGGTCCGTGGGCCACATTCCTAAGTAAATGAAAAGCTACTAACCGCTGAACCAAACCGGCCAGGGCGAGGCTCATTCATTTCTAGAACCCCAAGCCATGGCCCGAGATAGGCTCCCAGAGAAGATCAGCCCTGCACTTTCAGTTATGTAAAAGATGCGTTCCTAAACAACACTATTATTTCAAAAACCAAATAAAAGGCTCTGAGGCCACCTCCCGCCTCTCTCCCTTCTGAGTGTCCTTTGCCCTTTGAAGTCCGTGGCGCAGACCCTCCTAGTTCTGGGTGCTAAACAGGGGGCAAAACGAGGCAGTGTTGCTCGAAAACCAAGTGTCAAAGATGGAATTACAGAGAAGAGGAGCAGGCAACAACGAGCTCTCGCCTCACTTAGCCCAGCTTGTGCTTTCAGTTTAGCCCAGCACAGGACTGTCCCTTCTGTCCCCCACATTTTCCGAGCCCTCCAGCCCCCAAACCACTTGTCCACTATCTACCAGACGCTGACTGTCTCACGGTCAGCATAACCTTCTGAGAGGAAGACCTCTGGTGTTGATTTGGACTGCGGATGTCATCATCCAGCTCACCCTCCTTGCTTTGATAACCCATTTGGACCCCTTCCTGTCTATGGCATCCTCACCAAATGACAACTCACCATCTGCCTGAACACCCCTACCTTTGCATTGTTGTTCAACAAGCAGATAGCTGGTTTGAGTCTGCTGGGAGGTTCAGAGGAAAGAAGAGAAAGGAAAGAAAGGACAAATGACAAAAGAGACTGGGGGGGTGGGAGTAACAGACACAGGAACAGAGCGGATGTCCTATACCAGAAATGTATCCACTGCTTGAGCACAGTGCACTGGGCTGTAGGAGGGAGGAGAGACAGGGCGGGGCCAGAGGGGCTGAAGGGGAGTGGAGGACACCGGCCCTCTGACTCTTTGCACCCAGCAGAGTGAGAAGCTTAGCTGGTCTCTTCAAGGAAGTCCTGTTGGTCACTAGGAGCACATCACGCTCTCTTGGAACCATGATCTTCACTCCTTTCCTTCCGCCTCCTGACCTGGTGAGTCCGATTTCCCTCTGTTGTCCTGCGATGTCAGCCCCAGAGGCCTGGGGCTTGGTCTGTAGCAGTCAATGCTGTATCCACAGCACCTAAAGCAGGGCTGGGGATACTCATAACACTTGTTGAATGAGGTGATGAATGTTAGGGGAGACAGAGCCCAAAAGGATAAGGCTACTTAGTGTTTCTTTGGTTTTGTTTTCTTTTCTTTTCAGAACCTGAAAGGCCAGCCTAAAGTCACCAAGGAATGTGCTGTTTTCTCTGACACGGTGGAGCGCTCATCCAATGGCACAGGCCTACCCAGGGCGTCTGCTGGTCCCCAAGGGTCTTGGAGGAGCTGGTTCCAGAGAGTCCTGGCATTTTTCACCAAGTCTTTCAGGTGAGAGCTTGGAGCCAGCCTCTGCCGCCCCCTCCTTTCCACCCGAAGGGCCTGCGGACCAGGCCTGACTTCCCCAGGGTTCCCAAGGGTCCAGTGCTCATTCTGCTTTGCCGTTGCAGGGGAGGATACCGGACACTCGGAAGCCAAGACCACGTTGCCACAGACACAGACCCCTGAATGCTGGCCAGGCCTCCTGTGCTGCCACATGCCCCTGCTTTCCCCAGTCGCTGGGCCTGAAATAAATGTGGTATGCTTGACTGATTTAGCCTCATGATGTTTATTGTACGTCTCCACACTAACATCCACTTCCTGTGGTTTATGGTTTGCCCCTTTTGGTGAAGAAGTGTTGACAAGAGGGTGTTACCACATTACTTAACCATTCGAGTCTGTACTCTTGTGCCTTGGAGCAGTACTGCCTTTTTCTCCATCGCTGCTGGAATTGGACTATATTTGATGGAGCCTGGTTGCTCTACTAATTCCAAGCATTTCAAAAATGTTTGACTGAGTGACAACTCTTGGGGCAGTGTATGAGGGTACTAGTGAGGAGAAGCACAGAGAGATTGAGTCAGAGGGAGAAATGTTGCAGAAACCGAGGTTTTTAGAAGCATTAGAACCACTAAGTTGACCACAATGACCCCCTTGGAAAGAGTCTCTCCAGTACCCGTCCTCACCCATCACCTCAGGTTATTTATCTCACATTTTAACACCATATTCCTTTGTAAGATGCTCTTGCTATGTATGGCAGCAAAACAGCAGCAGGGGAAGAGCTGAGTCTGGTGAGTGGTTTCCAGAAATGAGGAAAGCCTGGGAGCTTTTCTGGGACTGTTCTGTTCCTGGCTAAGTCTATGCCAGGGGAGTCCAGGCCCCTGTAGTCCATGCCCCTGTGGCCTAATGAGACTGTTTGGTTCCTCAGAAACTCTGGAGCCCACCAGACCCCTGGACTTGCTGCATTTGGCTCAGAACCACAGTAAGGAAATGTGAGGTTTAAGGGCTATGAGAGTCCCTCCTTCTGTTTTTAATTTTATAATTGAATTTATTGGGGTGACATTTGTTCACAAAACCATACAAGTTTCAAGTGCACAACTCAATAAAACATCATCTACACACCACATTGTGCGCCCATCGCCCAAAACAAAGTCTCTTTCCATCCACATTTTCTCCCCCTCTGTCCACCTCCACCTACCCCCACACACCTTTCCCTCTGCCTATCACCACACTGTTGTGTTTTATATGTGTGTGTGTGTGTGTTTGCTTAATCCCTTCACCTTTTCACACAGCCCCCCAAACCCCTCCCCTCTGACAGCTGTCAGTCTGTCAACTGTATCTATGAGTCTGTTTCTATTTTTTAATTAATTAATTTTTATTACAGATGTTTCTCCCCCCCCCCAATGATTCCCCTCTCCCTCCCCCTCCCCTGAGTCGGTTTCTATTTTGTTCATAAGATTCAAAGTATAAGTGAAATCATATAGTACTTGTCTTTCTCTGGTGGCTTATTTTCACTTAGCATTATGTTATCCAGGTCCCTCCATGTGGTCCCAAAGGGTAAGAGATCTTTCTTTCTTACAGTTGCTTAGTACTCCAGTGTGTATGTGTACCACAGCTTTTTAATCCACTCATCTACTGATGGGCACTTGAGTTGTATCCAGATCTTAGCTATTGTAAATAATGTTGCTATGAACATAGGGGTACATATATTCTTTTTGATTGGTGTTTCAGGATTCTTAGAATATATTCCCTGGGATGGAGTGAGGGGATGGGGAAGAGGGTGTCAATGGGGAAAAAAAAGGAGAAACATCTGTAACAAAAATAAATTAATAAAAAAATATATTTTCAAAATTGGGATCGCTGAGTCAAAAGGCAGTTCCATTTTTTATTTTTTGAGGAGACACCATACTGTTTTCCACAGTGGCTGCTCCAATCTGCATTCCTACTAACAGTGCACAAGGGCTCCCTTTTCTCCACATTCTTGCCAGCACTTGCTTGTTGATTTGTTATGGAAGCCATTCTGGTAGGTGTGAGATGATGCCTCACTGTAGTGTTAATTTGTATCTCTCTGATGATTAGTGATGTTGAGCATTTTTTTCACATGTCTATTGGCCATCTGTATGTCCTCATTGGAGAAGTGTCTATTCAAGTCCTTTGCTGATTTTTAAATTGGATTATCCTCCTTCTGTTGAGTCATATGACTTTTTTATGTATTTTGGAAACTCCTTATCAGATGTATCATTGGTGAATATGTTCTTCCATACTGTGAGTTCCCTTCTCATTTTGCTTATGGTTTTTTTTGCTGTGCAGAAACTTTTTAGTTTGATGTAGTCCCATTTGCTTATATTTTCCTTTGTTTCTCTTGCCCTGGGAGATGTATTGGCAAAAAGTCTGCTACATGAGATGTCTGAGATTTTATTTCTCATGTTTTCTTTTAGGACTTCCATGGTTTCATGACTTACATTTAAGTCTTTTATACATTTTGAGCTTATTCTTGTGTATGGTGTAAGTTGGTGGTCTACTTTCAATTTTTTGCACGTTTTTGTCTAATTTTCCCAACACCATTTATTGCAGAGACTGTCTTTACTCCATGGTATTCTCTTTCCTCCTTTATCAAAAATTAATTGCCCTGGCTGGTTTGACTCAGTGGTTGGAGCGTTGGCCTGCGTACCAGAGAGTCCCGGGTTCAGTTCCCGCTAGGGGCATGTACCAAAAAAAAAAAATTTAGCCCTGGCCGGTTTGGTTCAGCGGTTAGAGCGTCGGCCTGCGGTCTTGAGAGAACAGGGTTAGGTTCCCGCTAGGGGCGCGTGCCTCAGTTGCAGTTTGTCCCCGGCCCTGGTCGGTTGTGCGGGTGGCAGCCACTCGATGTGTTCCTTTCACATCGATGTTTCTCTCTCTCTCTCTGTTCCTCTCTCTCCCTCCCACTCTACCTGAACAAAAAATGGAAAAATGTCCTCGGGTGAGGATAAAAAAAAAAAAAATTAATTGACGATAATGCTGTGCGTTGATTTCTGGATTCTCCATTCTGTTCCACTAGTCTATATGCCTGTTTTTGTGCCAATAGCAAACATTTTTACTACAGTGGCTATGTAGTATAGTTTGATATCTAGTATTGTAATCCCTCCAACTTTGTTCTTCCTTCTCAAGATTGCTGTGGCTAGTCAGGGTCTTTTTGGTTCCTTATAAATTTTTGGAATATTTGTTCTAGATCTGTGAAATATGCCAATGATATCTTAATAGGAATTACATTCAACCTATAGATGCTTTGGGTAGTATGGACTTTTAATAACGTTAATTCTCCCAGTCCATGAACAGGGTATATACTTCTACTTTTTTGTATCTTCCTCTATTGCTTTGTTCAATGTCCTATAGTTTTCTGAGTATAGGTCTTTTACCTCCTTGGTTAAATATATTTCTAGGTAACCTAATATGTTTGTGACAATGGTAAATGGGATTTATTTTTTGGTTTCGCTTTCTGAGAGTTTATTATTGCCATTGATTAAAATGCCATTGATTTCTGAATGTTAATTTTGTATCCTACTACTTTGCCAAATTAATTTATTAAACCAGTAGTATTTTGGTGGAGTCTTTAGGGTTTTCTATGTATAATATCATGTCACCTGTGAATAATGACAGTTTTACTTCCTTGTTTCCAATTCGGATGCCTTTTATTTTTTCTTCTTGTCTGATCACTGTGGCTAGGACTTCCAGTTCTATGTTGAATAAGAATGGTTAAAGCAGACATCCCTGTACTGTTCCTGTTTTTAAGGGAAACACTTTAGTGTTTTCCCATTGAGTATGATGCTAGCTGTAGGTTTGTAATATGTGGCCTTTATTATGCTGAGATATCATCCATCTATTTCCACGTTGCTGAGAGTTTTTTTATCAAAAAATGGGTGCTGAATTTTATCAAATGTTTTTTTCTGCATCTCTTGATATGATCTTTTGATTTTTATCCTTCATTTTGTTTATGCATTTATTGATTTGTGAATATTTTACCAGCCTTGCATCCCCAGAATAAACCTCACTTGGTGATGGTGTATGATTTTTTAAATGTATTGCTGGATCTGATTTGCTAATATTTTGTTGAGGATTTTAGCATCTATTTTCATCAGGGATATAGGCCTATAACTTTCTTTATCTGTCTTGTCTTTTTTTATTTATTTATTTTAAAGAGAGAGGAAGGGAGAGGGAAAGAGAGATAGAAACATCAATGAGAGAGAACATCGATTGACTGTCTTCTGCATGCCCCCCACTGGGGATCAGGCCCACAACTTGGGCATGTGCCCTGACTGGGAATTGAATCAGTGACCTCTTGGTGCATGGGTCGATGCTCAACCACTGAAAAGCTGAGCAGTATTTGAGCCCCATGGGGCAGCAGCACTCCCCAGCCACCGGTGGCGGGACCTTGGGCTCCACAGAGGCCTGTGCAGTCCAGCAGCTCACAAGAGCAGTGGGAAGCAGGAGCCCGAGAGACACTGGTGTGATCCAGCTGCCCGCCTGCAGACCTGCAGGGAGCAGGGGCACCAGAGAGACCTGTGCTACCCAGCAGGGACTGTGAGATCCAATTACCTGTGGAACCTGCGGGGTGCTGAAGCACCAGAGAGATCTGTGTGACCCAGCAGGAACTGTGCCATCCAGTTTCCCACGGCATCTGTGGGGTGCTGAAGCACCAGAGAGGCCAGTGCGAGCCAGCAGCCTGTAATAAGCATAGAGCTGAGTCCCCAAAGGGACTGTGCCATCCAGTTACCCACAGGACCTGCAGGGTATGGGGGCACCAGAGAGGCCTTTGTGACTCAGCTGCACACAGGATAGGTGTAGAGGATGTGAAAATGGAGGTAGAGTGAATGGAAGCTACACAGATGAGCTCCCAGGACCAAACGGGAATTACAACTAAAATAAAGACAAATCCTTGGAAAAAAGCAACAGAAAAGCAGCAGGACAGGACCATATAATGAGGGACACTGGTAGGATCTGTGGAGGCGCGAGAGGGTGGCAGGCTTGGAGCCCACAGACAGCAGCAATCTTAGCTGTGAGCAGTGCCCTTGGGGAATAAAGACAAAGACCGCTCCACAGTGCAGAGAGCCTGAACAGAGCACCAAAATGGCCACAGCCACTCACCTGGGGGCTATGGCAGAGGGAGGGAAGACTGGGCTGGAACACTGTAAGGACACCCGGGATTGGGAGGGCACTCAGAGCTTTTGCTGAGTTGTGGCCACAAAGGACGGTGGCCAGTGTGCTTTTTCTCAGAGCTGTGGGGAAAAGTA